ATGAATGGGCGCAGGGCTTTGGAAGGACCTTTACTAACACTCCTCTGCATTAAATTAATTTAAAGTGTGAGTTGGTGTCTGGAGACGTGGTGGCAGCATGTCCTGCCTTTCCAGTTACAGGAGTTGACTTTATTTTAGGGAACGATTTGGCCGGAGGCAAAATCCTGGTTAATCCAGAAGTTACTTTAGCTCCGGTGAGGTCTGAGAGCTTAAATAAGTTTCAAGATAACATTCCCCGCACGCCTCCCGTGTGTGCATTTACACGCGCCAAGGCACGGAAAAAACGCGGGCGCCGCAACCGCCCATACCACCCCAACAGGCAGAAACTATATCACGAACAAGGTAAGAATCTGTCTGTTGTTTTAACCCTGTCCTCTGCTGGGTCAGCCACACCCCACAGGATGCGGTCTCCCCCAAGGTGAAGTGAGTTCTCCAGCGGAGCTGTCCGGTGCTGGACCTGACATTGACGGTCTGTCTAAGGCCATGTTGCAGGGTAAACTTAAGTCAGAGTCAGAGTCAGAGTTTCTTTATTGTCATTCGCACCTCATGTGGTACATGTGGTGGAGCAAAATTATGTACACAAGGTCCCAGTTACATCCAACAATAAAATGTATAAGAAAAACAGTAATAACATCTAAGATATGAACTAAGAAAAACATCAACTAAATATACACTAAGCACTCATAACATAAAACTTTGAACATCAGCACAAACATGAACATGAGTCTGTGAGCGGATGTGCACGCATGAACACATCAACATTGAAACAGATCAGCAGCAACATGAAAAAGATCAGCAGCAACATGATATGGTTTTTCACAGTGATTATTCTAGTTAGAGATTCATGAGTCTAACAGCCTCAGGGTAGAAGCTGTTCCTCAGTCTAGTGGTTCTACACTTAATGCTCCTTAACCTCTTTCCTGAGGGGAGTGGGGCAAAAAGTGTGTGTGCTGGGTGAGTGGGGTCCTTCATGATGCAGGTGGCCCTCTTCCTGCATCTAGAGGTGTAGATGTCTGTGATGGTGGGGAGGCTGATTCCGACAGATTTCTGTGCAGCCTCCATCACCTGTATAAATAAAGGTTGATTGATCACTCTCTGCAAAGCTTTTCTTTCTGCAGCTGTGCAGCCTCCATGCCACACGTTGATGCTGGAGCACAGGATGCTCTCCACTGCACACCTGTAGAAGGAGGTGAGGACTGAGCTTCCCAGACCAGCTCGCCTCAGCCGTCTGAGGAAGTAGAGTCTCTAATGAGCTTTCTTGATCAGGCTGGTGGTGTTGTTGCTCCAGCTGAGGTTGTCATTCACATGTACACCCAAGTACTTGTAGCTGGAGACCACTTCCACCGCAGATCCTCTTATGTTCAGGGGGGTGTAGGTGTTTTTGTTCCTTCTGAAGTCCACAATCATCTCCTTTGTCTTCTTCACATTGATGTGAAGGTTATTCTCTTTGCACCAGATCTCCAGGTGTTCCACCTCTTGCCTGTAGCTGGACTCATCATTGTTTGTGATGCATCCCACCACCGCTGTATCATCTGCAAACTTTACAATGTGACAGCCTGGATGGGTAGCTGCACAATCATATGTGAGCAGAGTAAACAGGAGGGGGCTCAACACACATCCCTGAGGAGAGCCAGTGCTGAGGGTTATGGTGGAGGAGGAGAGGTTGTGGATCCTCACTAACTGTGGTCTGTTTGTTAAAAAGTCTAGTACCCAGTTGCAGATGGAGGGGCTTAGTCCTAGTGTGGATAGTTTGTCCATCAGGGTTTGGGGGATCATGGTGTTTAAGGCGGATGTGAAGTCCACAAAGAGCATACGGACGTAAGAGTTTTTCTGCTCCAGGTGGTTGAGCGCAGTGTGGACCACAGAGGAGATGGCATCCTCTGTTGATCGGTTCTCACGGTATGCATACTGATGAGGGTCCTCGTTGATGTTGATGGTTGTTTTGATGCGAGTCATGACCAGTTTTTCAAAGCATTTAGCGACTATCGGGGTGAGGGCCACTGGCCGATAGTCATTCAGACCAGTCACTGTAGAGCTTTTTGGGACTGGAATGATGGTGGCAGTCTTCAGGCAGGTGGGAACTGTCTCTAGGGTAAGTGAGGTGTTAAAGATGTCTGCCAGCACTTCACAGAGCTGATCAGCACATTCCTTCAACACTATTCCGGGGATGTTGTCTGGGCCAGTTGCCTTGTGTGGATTAATCCTCCTGAAGGTACTCCTTACTTCTGCTGAGGTCACGCTGAGATGCTCTTCATCCGGTGGTGAGGTGAGTCTGGTGCTGGGTGGTCTGTTCGGGTCTTCAAAGCGTGCATTGAACTTGTTGAGGGCATCAGGCAGAGATGGGTCTTTGGGGCATTGTTCGCTCCTTCCTTCATAATCTGTTATGCACTTAATGCCCCTCCACATGCTCTGAGGGTCTTGTGAGATGAATTGACCCTCGATCCACTGTGCATATGTGGCCTTGGCCCTCTTAATACCAGCAACCAGCTCTTTTCTTGTCCTACTCAGCTCCTCTGAGTTTCCAGACCTGAAGGCAGTGTTCCTGGCTTCCAGCAGGGTACGCACCTCTGCATTCAGCCAAGGTTTTCTGTTTGGGTAGCTTTTAACATTTCTGATAGTGGAGACGGTGTCAGTACATGTACTAATGTAACCCAGAACTGAGGATGTGTATTGGTCAAGATCAAGCGAACCTCCATTTTCAGCAGCTCCTCTAAAAACTTGCCAGTCTGTTCGGTCAAAACAATCTCTCAGTATGGGGCCACTGTCCTGGATCCAGCATTTAACTTTCTTTTGTACCGGTCTGGAGTGTCTCAACGGGGGCATGTAAGCAGGAGCCAGGAAGATTGAGATGTAGTCTGACAGTCCTAGGTGGGGGCGGGGTTCGGCTTTGTATGCATCTTTTACGTTCGTGTAAACACGGTCCAGTGTGTGGTCTCCACGTGTTGGAATCGCCACATGTTGATAAAAGCTTGGGAGACAGTCCTTTAGATTCACGTGGTTAAAGTCTCCGGCTACCACGTAAAGAGCCTCGGGGTGTTTGTTCTGCAGTGAGCTGATGATATCATGTAGCTCCTGCAGTGATTCATTAGCATCCGGAGGAATGTAAACACAGTGATGAAAGTCACCGTGAACTCGCGGGGTAGATAATGTGGCCGACATTTCACTGTTATTTGCTCCAAAGCCTTCGAGCATGAGCTATTTACAACAGTAAAGTTCGTGCACCAATTTTTACTCACGTAAATGCACACTCCGCCTCCCCGTGATTTCCCCGTTAGTTTGCTGCAGCGGTCCGCTCGAAAAAAAAGTCTGTCATCCAGCTGGAAGACTGTGTCCGGCGTTTCGCTTGTAATCCACGTTTCCGTGAGGCAAAGCACTGCACACTTCTTCATCTCTTCTGAGGCGCCCGCTCTCAGACGAAGTAAATCCATCTTGTTGTCCAACGAGCGAACATTCGACAGAAAGAGAGACGGCATGGGGAGTTTACCGGCTTTAGCGTTAGCTCGTAGCCTCACCATAACCCCCGCCCGGCATCCTCTCCTCTTAAGCCGGGAGCAGCGCTTCCTCTTCTGCCCGCTGGAACGCCTCTGCTGCAGCTTCCAGGTAGATGACTTTAAGATCTGCATTCTGCCGAGCGTAGTTTTGAGTTTGTTGCTGATTTCTGCTATATATTTATTATATATATATTAAATACTCACATGGAGTTAAAACAAAAACCAAGAAGAAAAAAATAGGAAAAACACACATAAAAGGTAACGATGACATTTTTGGTTGACACACTGTCCTGTTTTTATGCTGCTGCTGATTGTTGTTAACCCACCACTCAGCATTTAGGGGTGGAGGTGTGTCATGCCCCTGTGTCAATTATGTCCGTGTGTGTGTTTGTAATTAATGCTTTCTTTTCTCTGTACAGCTGATTGGCTGATGGTGGCTTAAAAGGACCAAGCTCCGCCTGATGGACGAGCGAGGGAGACCAGAGGAGATGTTTGCCTGATGGTTGATGATTCTTGTTCTCCAGCCTCGCTCCCACTCCGGCCACTGATTATTACACCTCGTCACAGTTGTTGTTGTTTGTTGTTGCTGAGCTATTTGTTTTTTGGACTGGGAGTCACCCGTCTAGTTTTGGTTTTCCAGTTATTGATTGTGGGCAGCACGGTGGCACAACTGGTAGAGCTGCTGCCTCTCAGCGAGCAGGTCCCTGGTTCAAACCCCGGTCCAGGGGCCTTTCTGGGTGGAGTTTGCATGTTCTCTCCGTGCATGCGTGGGTTTTCTCCGGGTACTCCGGTTTCCTCCCACAGTCCAAAAACATGCATGTTAGGCTGATTGGTAACTCTAAATTGTCCCTAGGTGTGAGTGAGAGAGTGAATGGTTGTTTGTCTCTATGTGGCCCTGTGATGGACTTGCGACCCGTCCAGGGTGTACCCCGCCCCTCGCACAGTGATTGCTGGACATGGGCACCAGCAACCCCCGTGACCCAAAATGGAAGAAGCGGGTAAAGAAAATGGATGGATGGATGGATGGATGGAGTTATTGATTGTAGGGTTAGTCTCCGACGGCCAACAGCTGGTTGGTTGGTTCGAGGCTTCTCCCTCTTTTTTGTTTGTTTTAACCAGGCCTCCCAGTCTGCATTTTAGTTCAGTGGATTTAATGACAATTAAAGCTTTGTCAAAAACTGAAAAATCCTCTGGGCTTCATATGTTGTGTGTCCTGCCTTTTCCTAGACTTGTCAGGACCATAACATCACCCGTCTTGCTTTGGATGGTTGACTCCAGGTACTTCAAAATCTATCTTGAGTACCTCTCCTTCATGCAGCTTCACTGTTCCACCTGTCTTTCTCTCATTCACACAGATTTCCTCTACTCTCCAGAGCACAGGTCCACCTCTCCAGACTCTCTTCCACCTGCTCCTTTCTCTCTCTGCAGATCACGTTGTCATCTGCAAACATTGTGATCTCCTGCCTGACCTCGTGTTCTGTTGTTTGGTGATTAACAGTTCTTACTTACCATAAGGTTGGCTTCTGCATCCTCGTACGATTTTCACTGTCTTTGCAAGCATTCGCTTTGAAAAATAAAAATAAAAAAATCAAGTCATGCTCCTACTTATAGTAAATCAGTGAAATTCCAAAGTAACACAAAATAATAAATAAAATCTGCCATACCATTTTCTCAAAATTGACCAATTTGTCCAGACAGTTTGGGTTGCCCTCGTGGATGAACGTCATGTCTAGGTGTTAACAACACAAGATGGTTTGAGTCAAAAACAGTTTTTGGATTTATGGCAGCCCGACTGCTGGTGTTTACTACCTTTCAGCAGCAGTGGCATGAAGGGGATGTAAGGAGGGCTGAGTTTAGCCACAGCCAGTCTGTAGGCCCTGTGGTTGCGTGAAGGGTCCTAACAGACCAAGAGGAAACAACAAGTTATCACGAGAAAATTTTCTAATCAAGGCACTAATAATCCACTGAAATGAGATCACTGTGTGGCTTACCATTAGTCTCTCATAAGTGCAGTAGATTCTTTTGGTCTTGCTTGGTATTCTCTGCATAAGACATGCAACATGTTTCACCAGTCATTAAAAACTCCATGAAAAATGAATACAATGCAACTTTTCTTGTCATTACGTCTGCTGCAGCCTCACCTCCCAGGTCTTGTACAGCCTCTGCACTGCACTGTTGCCTAAACCAAACATCACAGCAAAAAAGACATTGAGATTCTTCTGATCCTTTAACCTGAAACACAAAAGAGACTGTGAACTGACAGATTTCTGACTGTGTTGCTAAATACAGAAGAATAAAGAGTACACCGCCATGCAGTGGAGAAATATGTCAGTACAGTGAGTTGAAGTCAAACTGACATTAATTTCATTTGAACCTTTTTTATTTCACACAAGAACAAAATATATAATTTTAGGTGTCTTCACAATGTTATATTTAGAAACGATACAAAAATGTAAACTTGAATACAAAAAAACCTGCCTATAAATGCTTCAATGCATAATATTTTATTACACCTTTGTATTGCTTAAGAAATTAGGATAATTGCTGCGATTTACCTTGATGACAGCAGATATGTTCCAAAAATATTATTTATTGTTTCATGAGTGAAACCTTCACACATCTGCAAGTCAGCCACACCTATCCAACAGTTTGTCTTGTTTTTACTGAGATATTAATGAAACTCACTGAACATTCTGGCAGTTTTAAAGCTGTAAACTTTAAATAAACCAGTGTTCTGTCTAATTCTGCACAGACAATATTAATTTTTGAACTGAGGGATAGTTTTCTGACAAAGAAATGAGCTACAACCCAGAGACTTGAGCTCACTGTGGTTGACGTGTCTCAACACATCGAGGACACTCGAGGGCAGTCTCAAAGACAGAGAATTGTCCACTGCAGCTGCTGCTTTGATTGAAAGCTTTCAAACAAGACTTTTTATGCTTTGGTCTTTTTGTAATAAATAGATTTATGTTGTTTTATTCAAATCAATAAGCAGCCTATTCACATGAAGCATCATTCTCAACGGTTCTCTTTGGTTATGTCTTGTAAAAGCTGCACACAAGACCACCTGTGTTAACTAAATATCTAGAATCCTTATGTCTGCAGAGAATTATGATAAAGCTGAATAAAGCTTTGACAAATATCTCTTTGGAACTCCTCACTTGTTTCAGCTGATCTGCTGGACACGAAGAGCTGGTACAAGAATAACATCCTCCTTCACTACATCCGTGTCCTAGCTGTCTCACTGCAGTTACAACCTTGTCCCTGTTGAAACATTTCAGACCGCCTGCCATCCAAGCCACGAGAAAAAAATAAATGAACTGGACATGAACAAAAACATCAGGCTTTATATTCTGAGTGCCAGACCACTTCATCTATTTTATTTAGGGAACACTCTGACCTGTTGGTGGCGCTAAAACAAAAGTCAAGAGAAATCGACATGAATCGGTTTTACTTTCCTCATTTTCAGAAAAGTTTGTACTCTTTTTAAAATTATAAATAAAATCAGAACTTGCACACGAGGTCATGTTTTCTTTGTCTTCTTTTTTAAAGCAAGGACAAAACTGGGGCAGCACAGTTCGTAGAGCTGCCACCTCTCAGCAGGAAGAACACTGTATCAAATCCTGGTTGTGGGTCTTTCTGGGTGGAGTTTGCATGTTCTCTCCGTGCATGCGTGGGTTTTCTACGGGTACTTCAGTTTCCTCCCACAGACCAAAAACATACATGTTAGACTTGACTGGTAACTCTAAATTGTCCCTAGGTGTGAGTGAGAGAGTGAATAGTTGTTTGTCTCGTTTGTCTCTATGTGTTCCTGTGATGGACTGGAGACCTGTCCAGGGTGTCCCCCACCTCTCTCACAGTGACTGCTGGATATGGACACCAGTGACCCCCGCGGCCCAGAAAGGAAGAAGAGGGTAAAGATAATGGACGGACAAGAACGGCTCTAAAACACAGCCCACATCACGTTTCCTGTGTTGAACTCTTACACTGAAGCCATCTTGATGAATTTCTTGAGCAGGACGGCCCGTTTCACCAGGTCCTCGCAGAGACACAGCTCCGTCACCACCCAATACTGAATTTCATTAAAGTGGCGAACAAACCGCTCCAAGTTGGCCGTGATGGCACCCGGGAATTTGTGACGCCCAAAGATGTAGTAGACGAGCTCCACCTGGGGAGTGGGGAACAAATGATTCACAACTAGACAGAAAGTGGAGTTTCAAAGTTCAAGATAAAGAAAGCTGCTACAGGAGACACCATGTACTAAAGATAATCTGATGACATAGATGGTTTTATCAGCTCAGCTAGTTTGCAAAGAGTTACCTCATGCATGGCAGTGAACAGTTCCCAGTCATAGTTGGTGAGTTCAATGGCGATGTCTTTAGAGCTCATCTGCTCAATAAGGTCGGCTGTCCCCCGCTCAGGACCCTGCTGCTCCTTCAGGGGCCTCTGACAGAGAGGGAGAGACGGAGTCAAAGAGGAAATAAAAACTGAAGAAAAAGGGAAAAGGGCACCCTGCTTGGCTTAAAAAAAAGTGTATGAACGGTGACATTCCTCACCAGTTGTTCCACTTCACTGCTCGTGCAGATAAAAAGTCTCTCGTTGAGACCCAGGGCGGTGTAGACTGCAGATGCTTCCAGCTTTAACTGAGCTCTTTCTGTTTGCAGTTACAAAAACAATTCACACTAAAATGATCAAATAAGGTCAACTTCACTAAATGTCAAAAGCAAGTGATTTAACTGAGAAATGCATGCTCCTAATGAAAATGAGAAAAACGAGTCCCACCTCCACTGGAGTTCATTTTGACCAGGACATGATCTCCACCTGGCTTGACTACTGCTGACATCACTTCCTGTACAGGTGAGTCCACTGGGAGCATCAGAGACAGAGGTTTGTAATCTGACTTGTAGATCTCATACAACACTGAAATGAAAGGAGACAGCACGTCAAGATGTGCTGATCTGATCTTTAATGGCCGACATTTACTTCTGGGTAACACCAAGTTCAACTCAAACTGACGTGCAAATATATATTTAATACTTTACACAAAAATAATCTGTACCACTTTACAACAAGGCTCCCCTTATAGATGGATAATAAATAGTTTATAGATATGTTATTAATTCCTCTATAAGCACTTTATGAATTAATAACTGCTTATTATGCATTAATTATGGGTGACAAAACTGACCAGTTTCTTACCAAATCTGTTCACCTATATATTTAATCTAGAGTTGTTATATTAAACATTTCAGACTAAGTTACTACCTTGTAAGCACAATAAGCATTTGTAAATCTCATTTTTTAGGATATAATATTAGTCGTAGATACTTATAATGCAGTGATAAAGTACAATATTATATGCTAAAGAAATATGTTTACAAATGTTTATTGTGCTAACAAGGTAGTAACTTAGTCTGAAATGTTTAATATAACAACTCTAAATGAAATATATAGGTGAACAGATTTGACTCACTATTTGCCTCTGTCACCCTTAATTAATGTATAATAAGCAGTTATTAATGATTTATAAAGTGTTTATAGAGGAATTAATAATGTATCTATAAACTATTTATTATCCCTCTATAAGGGGAGCCTTATTGTAAAGTGGTACCAAGAAACTAAATGGAAATAAAAGCAAAAGCTCAAAATACATAAACAGCTTTATAACTACAGTAACAAAAAAAAAAAAAAAAGTTTAAACATGTTTAGTGCAAAACAATTCAGGGTAAAAGTGTACATTTTCAAAGAGGTAAATAAAAAAATTTGGTAATATTTTTTTACCCAGAACAAGCTCAGCACATTGTGTTGAAGATATTTTATCAGCATTTGTATCATACAGTCAAAATATGCTCTAAGCACATGTAATTATGAAATTTAATTTCACAAATATAGACATAATTTTAAATTGCAACTTCGTTTAATTACACTTTTTCTGCTATTATAACATAAACCTATGATTACTTTAAAATTCACTTAATTTTTGGAAAACAGGCTTGAAAACATAATTTTCAAAAGCATGTGTTTGATTTAACCCCCCCCCCCCCCACACACACACACACACACACACACAATATAACCAAAGCATGATCCTTTTAGCAGAAATTAGAGACAGGATTACAGCTCACAGGTGGTTTTTAAGGCATAAATGCACCATTTTGCCACTATAAATTCGGGGGAAAATCTACATTTTTGCCTAAATTTAGGGGGTCCAGAACCACCCAACCCCCTACCCACCGGCATTCTGCATTCCTATAATATACAGTATCTTAATCCAGTATAAAATATTGTAGCTGATTTCACGGATGGATTAGATGGGTCTGTTTTTCCTCACCTTTATCCTGCGCTCTGATGGGCAGGACCCTCCCTGCCGGCTCCTCACAGTGTGAAAACCAGTCAAACTGCTGATTCTGTCCATGACAACAAAACATCTCAGAGTAAACATTTTCAGACTTTTTCTGATTAAATGCATCTCTGATCCAGTTTTCTCTCATCTCAAAGCATTTTTGTTGAAAAAGGAAACCCATGAGTGATGCTCACCCTGCTCAGTGACTGATAACCATTCTCCAACCTAAGACATCACATAGAAAAACAAACAATAAACAGGTTTAGATTGTATTAAATGGATGAACGACTGTACAGATATATAAATATATTTGTGCCAAAAAGGGGTTTGGAGGGAATGTTTACATTTTTGTTCTTCGTCTCTCTTTAAACTGTTCTTTCAGAATGCTGGACAATCGACAGTCAGCCGACACCTCCTTCTTCATCCTCTGATTCAATCCAAAACATAAAATTAATTAAAATACCCCAACTATCTATGAATGGTTCCATTGTTACTAAAATTCACCTCTGACAAGTTCAAACCTATCTCACCTCTAAAAAGTCCACTGTAACTGGGTCTTCTTTGAGCAGAAAGCTGTACAGCGCCACCCACTGGCCAATCAGCCTCACCACCTTCTGCTTGGTGTTGAGGACGTAGGCGTCCTTCTCCTGCTCGGAGCCCTCGCTCAGCTCTGCCTGGTAAGTGCAGTGGTGTTAAGGATGTAAAACATGACAAACAGGGCCGTGGTCGTTCTGACTGTTGGTGGAAGTAAAGCTGTTTATCTTCCTGAATAAACCATCGCAGGATATTGATGTTGGAGAGCAGCACAGAGCTGACTGGAGGACATGAAGACTTTGTGGGTGAGCAGGAAGTCACTGACGCAGGGATCTGCAGCGAGACAAACATCACAACAACAAACAACTTGACATTGTCGTCTGAACACCTTGAAATCTAAAAATAATTTCAGTGTGGCAGCTCCCACCTATGGGATCATTTCCGTTTGAGTCCATCTTCACAGTTTCCAGCAGGTGCTCCAGGATTTTCTCAGGCGTTCCTGCCATAACTGTGTACCTACAGAGAGCAACATCAGAACTTTATAAATTATTGTATATGAATGCACTGTGCTCGTTAGGGCCTGATAGTTTATTTGTTATTACTATAATTTTTTCTGTTTAAGTCACACCTTTTTGAATAAATTTACAAGTCCTGTGACTTAGACATCGAAGCAACTAATATACATTTGTTCCCCATATTTATAACCAATTTTTGGCTGAGATCTGACAATTTCATTCATTCTGACATGGAAAATATTAAGCACTACCATTTTCAGCCACTAGAGGGCTCTGACTTATATGGCAAGCCAAGTATCTCATTAACAGGTAAAAGTGGCTATTAATGAGACACTTGGCTTGCCATACAACCCTCGTCTCGCTCTGGAACTCCTGAAGCAAACGTCAAATCAGTTGCATTTCGTCGCGCCGCCCAGGTGAAATTTAGATGATTTGACCATTAAAGTGCATTAATTAAGTAAAAGTTCAACTGAGACACACCTTTACTATAATGTCGAGCAAACAAATAATTGTTAAATTCTTGTTAAAGTCCTCCTGTGCACGCTCCCGCGGCCGCCATTTGGCAGCCAATCGATTTTTGGTACAACACAGACCCACATTTCCGGGTGGTCAGCGATGACGCATAACAAACGTGACACACCAGCGGTGACGCATAATAGATGCGACTTGTGCGGCGAAGTGACTTATTTATGTTTTTTCCCACTTTATGAGATATTTTTGGACTGATCTGACTTATACGGTGATGCGAGGTGCACGGCGGAAAGTACAGTAAACCGGATGGCCCTACATGAGTCTCTTGTGTTAATTAAACAGTCTGAACATTTAGTTAATTATTGTTGGTTTAGGTGTCAGTCTGACTGACACACATTTGTTTCGTGTTTGGGCATGCTTTCTTTAGAACTTTGCACAAAATATTATAAGTTTGTTTTAGTACTGACTGACAAAAAAGAAGAAGCAACAAAGGCCTTGACGTAACCACTGAACGGCTCATTCAGCTCACTGTTTCCAACTGAGTGACTAATAAAGTACATCCAAGTAAACTGTGTGTTTTTGTTAGCTGAATCTAATCAGCACCATCCAGCACAAGGTTTATTCTAAAAAACTAAAGAACAAAGTTGAATTTGATCTTGTTTAATCTGTTCTGTTTTATAAATTGATACCTTTTCAACAACATTTAGAACCAATCAGTCATTATCAGCTTTGAAACTTGATGGATCACATCACATAGCTTGATTTTTTTTATTTTATTTTATACAAATTTTAACATATAAATGTATAAATACTAATTATATATTCAGCAGAACTCCACTCACCTCAAATGTACTTATATAGCTCTTTTCTATCTGAAGATATTCAAAGCTCTTTACAACACAATATATAGCTTTAGACCACATTCACTGATGGGACACACATCGGAGGCAGTGAGGGGTTCCGTGTCTTGCCCAGGGACACTTGGGCATGCGACTGCTGGTGGAATTGAACCCCCAACTCTCACATTGAAGGACGACTGCTCTAACCACTCATCCACAGCTGCCATCGAAGGTGACTCATTAATAAAAACATCCTTTAGGTTTATAGTATATAATAAAACTATTAATCATATACTTTAAATTAATATTTGTATTTTTTCTGATTAGCCACCTATAATTGTATATTCTAATTTAATTAGGCTTTAAGCATTAAGGTATGGTTTTATAGAGTTGATTTGACATATTTCCATCTCTACAATAGGTTTATCCAAAATGTAAGTTTTCTAATACATTTTTGTTTTAACAAACCGCTGATGAATTTCTGTTATCAATATATGTTATAATCTGGCATAATGCACATTTTATGTCTCTGGAAATAAGAAAATAAGCAAAACAGTCTTTATTTCTTTGTTAACTTCAATGTTGTTCAGCCGTTTGGTCAAGCGCTTGAAAAAAACATCTGGATAAACTGCAGGTAGTTCAAAATAAAGCTGCAAGGCTAGCACTCGAGAGTCATTTTAGAACAAACGTCGATTTCATGCACCGATGCCTGTCATGGATGAAAGTCCGTGACAGACTAGCATGCATCCTTCTCCTCTCTTTATACAAAATCTGTACTTCACATAAACTGTTTAGCCTTTTCTCAGTTGTTACTACTTTTATATGACCTCTGCCTTTAGGACCAATGCTCTCAAAAAACAAAACAAAACAAAACAGCTGTTTATCGAGCTATTTCTTATTGGAACATGCTGCCTTCTGGAATTACATTAATTGCTGATCATGTCTCAGCGAGAAGGTCGCCGGTTCAAATGCTGGTCCCCGCGGGGGCCTTTCTGGGTGGAGTTTGCATGTTCTCTCTGTGCATGCGTGGGTTTTCGCCGGGTACTCTGATTTCCTCCCACAGTCCAAAAACATGCATGTTAGACTGATTGGTAACTTTAAATTGTCCCTAGGTGTGAGTGAGAGAGTGAATGGTTGTTTGTTTCGTTTGTCTCTATGTGTCCCTGTGATGGACTGGAGACCTGTCCAGGGTGTACCCCGCCCCTCGCAGAGTGATTGCTGGACATGGGCACTGGCGACCCCCGTGACCCAAAATGGAAGAAGCGGGCAACAGATAAGTATGGATGGATGGATGGATGGACGGATGGATGGATGGGCTTATTTTTGGTGGGGAAGAGGGACGAGGCAGTTTGTGTAAATGTGCAAACGAGCAAGAAACACAAAATTTTTATAAAACTAAACAAGTAATCATCAACCACTACATATTTGCTGACAACCTACTTCCAGACTCAAAATCCATCGAGCATTCACAGTGCGTGACTATTTTCAGACAAAATTATTTCCAAATTTGTCCATTTCTGTCATATCACTTCAAATGCATCTAATTAAAATGATCCAATATATCTGTCCAAAACCATATTTATGTCTGAACAAATGAGCATCTAAAGGCAGCACCATGGATTAGTGGTCAGCACTGTTGTGTCACAGCAAGAAGGTCCTGGGTTCAATCCCTGGTTTGGACCTGGGGTCTTTCTGTGTGGAGTCTGCATGTTCTCCTCTAGTCTGTGTGCCCCCACCCCCGAGTACTGCAATTTCCTCCCACAGACCAAAAACGTTCGTGTTGGGCTGCCTTCAGGCCTCCCTTGAAGAAGAGATCTATGATCTCTGTGGGATTTGTCTGGTTAAGTGAAGGTTAATAAATAATAAATAAATTATCTATCTGCTGTGTAACAGCTGTTTGTGGTCAGTTTTGAAAGTTGAAGTTTCTCACTTGCTGTTTGCTCCTGCTCCTCCCTGCTCAGCTGAGGTTGTGCTCTTCTCCAACACCAGCACAGTTTTTCCATGCTCCTCCAGCCGCACCGTGTTAGCCTCCACATCCTGGAAGGTGGACAACAACATTTTAGGTTTCTTCTGTTGGTGCTCACAAACAGAACTTACAGCTCCTAGTCTCTACACCTCTCTGCTTGTTCCGCAACAACCCTGAAATTTCAATAAGAAGTTGTGATGCTAACCCGGGCCTGAAGCCCGGCCCGACCTGAATTTGGGCCAGGTCATAATAATGTGCTGGATGGGTGGGCCAGGTCGGTGTCAGGCTTTTGATTGCATCAGCAGACATATGCAGCTGACGATCCAATTATATGGCAACATGGCTTGCCATATACATTCACCAGCCACATGCAGCCATTTGACCACGAGCTGACCAGCCTAAGAAAATAAAGTTCAGTTAAGCTTCAGATGGGACTACTGGTACTGCCAGGCAGCGATCCATCAAAGCCCAAATGGACGTTCAGCCACTGCACTCAGTGGACGCGCGGCCGACGACCCAAACAGATGAGATCCCAAAGCAGACATGTCAGAGCATGGTCCGTGTCTGAATAATGCAGAATGCAGGCAGAAGCATTTAATGCACTTTGACGGCCAAGAAAGGACAAACACCCCCTCAGCTCTGATCTTCTGCCCCTTTTATTCAGCTGCACGTCCGCTGACCATTAATAACTATATAAGCAGTCAAAGCTTCATTAAAAATGTTGGGGGTGGTGGGGGGTGTTTCGGGTTTGGACATATAATTACTGTTAATTTGGCGGGGCGGGTGGAGTTCGGAAATGAAAACTGCAAGGTGGTGCCAGGTCAGATCAGAATTTTTGGGCCCGAGTGCCACTCTAACATGTAGTAACAAGGTTTTCAGACAAACCTTGAGGATTCGGATGAAATCCTGCTTATCAACACGAAGGAAGTGGCAGTTGTCTTCTCTTAAGATGATGGTGGCAGCACGCGGTGCATCATTCAGCAAAGCCAGCTGCCCAAAGTCCTCCCCCTCATGCAGAGTGGTCACAAGACCCTGTGGGAAAGCAGCACCATCAGCATCATAAATCACTGGGTGTATTACTTAGGTTTCTTTGTAAGCTGCATACGGATTTACCTTTCCATGTGTGATCACGTTCACTGATCCTTTCCAGATGATGTACCAGGAGGTGCCTTTATCCCCCTGACTGAACACTGCACGACAGAGAAGACAGTCATCTACACAAATCTCTGTCAAGTTAAATTTATTTATGAGCACACTTAAAAGCAACGGGTGTTTACTAAAGTTGGTGTTGTCTTGTTGTGAAAGGAAAGGCTGTTCCAAAGTGTACTACAGCAGTTTGGTTATATAAATGTAAAAGTTCTTACAGTGGTCCAGTCTAGAAGAAACTAAGGTACGAATAATATTCTCAAAATCTGAAACCGAAAAAAATGACCCCATTTTAACAAGGACACTTACTAGTAGTTGAATGAATAAGAAGTATACTTTTACAATAAATAGTAAAAATATATATTTACCACCACTGCAGTTATCATTACATAAAATAAATATATAATGGTGCTGTTTTTGAGAGGGAGATCTGGGAGTCATCAGCATAACAGTAAAATTAAATTAGAGGTTTCTTTAAAATCAAACTATAAAGAAATATATAGCCTACATGGAGAACAGAACTGGTCCAAAAATAGCCCCCTGTGGAACACCACTGGTAATGGGGACACTAAAAGATGGAGTGTTCCAATCTAACAGAAAAGGTCCAGCTTTATAAATAAGACTTCAGCCATTCCAGAGTTGTTTCTTTAACCCTGACACAATGCTCAAGACATAAGTGATCCACCATCACCATCACATTTAAAAAGGTAGAACAGCAGGACCCTCTGAGTGTGTAATTATTGAAACTTAAAATAACTATTCCTGCAATATGGTAGGCGTTAAAACTTAACTGAACCATTAGAAAAAATGGAAAATGGTTTTGTGAAGCTCAAGGGGTCAGGAACAGAAGATGTCATTTCAGACATTACGCTACTGTTTTAATCACCAAAGAACTACAAGAATGTTTCCACACATTGTTTCAGTCCCTGATTAACACCATTTATAGTCCTAAATAAAGGTTCTCTGCAGTTGATACGGCTCATATCTGTCATGACAGATGTCTGACAGATGTTTAGGTTTTGCTGCTCTAACTCCACTCTGATATTTCAACAGTATGTCTCTTAACAAGTCGAAGGAAATCTACAGTTTCTCCTGTCAATGAATAACCATGACAACTGTGTCTACAGTGCACCTTTTCTATGTCATGCTGTATTAACTTTCAAATTCAATGGCCGATGGGCAACATGAAAAGACATAAGATATGATGACTTGTTTGCCCTCAGTGATGAAGTATGAATCATAACAAGAGGAGTCTGAATATATGAAATGGTGAAATGATTAGTGGTTTGAATGCTGCTTGACTAAATGTAAAAGGATTGCACACAGAAAGACATGAGGTGACTGAATAGAGGAGCATCATACTCACACACTGTTCCAGCCTTAGTGTGGGATTCAAAGACCAGCACTGCAGCTAGCTCTTTACGCACCTACAAACACCACAAAGAAACAAATGAGTCTCGGCTGCACCAGTAACTCCTGTCACAGCCACGCTTCCACACCTACGATGTTTTAAGTAACACTTCAGAGATGTTAGGAGACAAACAGTGACTGACTGAGGAGGAGAGGTGAGCTGCAGCCTTCACATGGAGCAGCTCCTCATAGATGACCTCGATGTCCTCATCACTTCTCTGACTGGGGCTGAAAATGAGACGAGGCACAAACGACAATCAGTAATCTGCAGGGATTGTGACGAGGTTCTTTGATTTGTTGCAGTTTTCAGAGCTGACCTTTTGCGCAGAATCATGGTGAGCAGAGCGTCTGGGCCCAGCTGACACAGCAGGGACAGAGCTTCCTGCAGCTCGTCCTCCAAGTCTTTCTCATTTGTCGTGTGGTTCACACCAAACTCAGAGTCCTGGAAGCGGTAGAACTGGGAATCCTTGTCATGGAAGTTTAACTCGTGTTTTACTGGACAGATACACAACACAGGAAACAAGGAAAAAATGGAATACAATGGTGTTCAAGTGATAACGATAAATAGATATTGAAAAGACAAACAGGCTAAACAACAGTGAGGTGAAAAACGACAATTTGACCTTCAGGAATTTATGTTTTTAAACAGGAACTGTCTAAAGCTCCAAATGCATAGTAATAAGTGCAAATTGTTTCTGAGCTATTTCCTTCATTCCATGATGAAGTATTGCAGTCCTGATTGGAGTGGTCACCATTAGGAGGCAGCTCTTCACCCAACGAGCCCACTGAATGAAAAAACCTTGTCAGTCAGATGCCATGTTATTTGTGAAAATCAGATCTGAAGACAATCACATGGAAACATTTAAACACACACACGCACGCACGCACGCACGCACGCACGCACGCACGCACGCACGCAC